CCAGGGCATCCCACAGATGTTCGATCAAGTTTAAGTCCGGTGATCTTGGGGGCCAGGGGAGCACATTGATGTTGTGGTTCTGGAGGAAGTCTCTAGTGTGACGTGCTTTGTGGGGCCTGGCATTGTCCTGTTGAAACAGCTCCCTCTGGCGATCAATGATGGGAAGGAGGTGTGGGCGTAGGATTTCGTCACAGTACCGTTGAGCTGTCAGGTTGCCCTGGATCATCACCAAATCACTTCTCCTACGGCAGGTGATCGCTCCCCACATCATAACATTTACCCCGCTGAATCAGTCCACCTGGGGAACGCAAGTGTCGGCGAAACGTTCACGTCGACGTCTGTACACCCGCATTCTTCCATCGCGTCGTTCCAATAGAAATCGTGATTCATCACTGAACCAGATTCTACGCCAATTCGGTAGGTTCCAGGCCTGAACGTTGGTGCACCATTGAACTCGATGTCGACGATGTTGTTGTCGAAGCACAGGGCCAAAATAAGGTCTTCTGGCACGTAAACCAGCCTCTCTCAACCTGTTCCTGACGGTCTGTGCAGAAAGCCTCCTCAATCCGGGTATTTGTCGAGCGGTACTGGTCGCCGTAGCTGTTCGATGACGCAGGTGATGTACCCGGATGTAGCGATCCTGCGCCGCAGTGGTCGCTCGAGGTCGCCCACTACGGTTATCTCCCATTTGACAGACACCCAATTGACAGACACCCAATTGACAGACACTGAACTAGAAGGTTAATTAGGGTAACACCTACGGGTATAATGGAACAGTCCACTGTCTAGTGAGTAGAGCAGGGTGAGCCTGAAACAGGTTCGTTACTGACAAGTTTGATTGTGGGTAAATAGAACTTTGTTGTGATAAAATGATTTCTCTTCTCAAAATTGATTTTACTATCAATTACTATCGAATATAAAAACAGGTTTGTCACTGAGAGGTTTGATTGTGTGTATTGATAGAAAAGTCCCCTCCCAATAATAGCATATGTACAACAGAAGTTAACTGAGAAAACGTTTTGTTGGAGAGATATAGATATGTACATATTTGAAAACATTTGCAGTAAATCTTATTTGCAGTAAATGAGACACCTGCATTGCCATGTAAGATACCATTAACACCAATCAGTGTTCTAATTTCAACAATACTTTCTAAAGATTGTAACACTTTATGTCTTTGAGTAGTATATTCTCACATCCATGGCCACATTGACATGATGCGTCATATTTTAAATATTTATTCTAAATAAATCGTAACAAAGTTCATTCGTCATATATCTTAATATTGTGTTCAAAACATATAACTTCTTTATTCCAAATGAATAATATTTAGGTTCACATTTATCTATATTTGATTTATACAATACAACAGTGTCGCAATTTCTAATAGCTAAGCTAATGTTTTCAATATGATGATGCCGACTCCCGTTAGACTAGAAGGTTAAACCGAAAGGTTTATGAAAATAAATAACCTGTTAATAAATAAACTGTTTGTATATTGCAGCAATAAAAATTCAAATTACTGTCTTTTCGTCCATCTTTCAAAATAAATAATATAGCTTCAGTTTGTTCCTATGTTTTTATTTGGACTATTCCATTATAATGTGTAGGTAACAGGTAGTAGATAATCTGTTCACTGAACCGTAAATGTTGTTGTTTTAAGGTGTCTGCGAATTGGCGGTATCCTCCCATTACCCCTACATCCCATTACCCCTACAGCTTATAACAACAAAGTTCACGATCCAATGCACTGCTAATCCCCGCCCTGTTACCTGGACAATGGACTAGCCCAAACACATGAACACAAGATTTAATGTTTTAATTTATGGATTTAATTACACAAATAAATGAATATAATACACAGATATCTTCCTGGTTGTGACATGAATATGAGCAGCAGGTCATGTTAACTTTTTAATGTTAATTTTTGTCTTTTAAACAAGTCTCTATCCCAATTTGAGGAGATGGCCCACAGCGTCAAGGAACTGCATTGGTGTTTTCATCCCAAGATTGAGCTGCTCCTTGAGGCGACACAAAGGATGCTCCATCTCCCTGTACACTCTCTTTCTGCTTCTCTGTGCTGCTCCAAAGTCTATCTGGGAAATTTTCGATCTCTCAGCGTGTTCAACTTTCCTGATCACCTCCACAAATCGGTAGATGTTGGGGTGTGGATGTGGGAGTCCCCGGTTCAGGCGGTTGTGGAATCCCTCTAGGTTGTTGTTTGTCCTTGGACCTGTTGTTGAGTGATGGTTCCACAGTGGCAGACGGAATCTTGCATCGTCGTCGGTGTAATCGTTGAAGGTGGCCGCTCTTGGTACATCGGGAGCGTCGTCCATGGCGCCAACCCACGTGTCCTGGATACTGTTCTGGACATCCTCTCTGTAAGCAACAGCAAGTCCCAGATCCTGGACCTTCCTCCAAATGGCCTGACAGTAGTGGAAGAAGCAACCCTTCACTTCAGCAGTCGGAAACTCTCTCTCTATAGCATGAATTGCCGCCAGCTCAAAGTCTGTCTGGACACAGGATGGGACAAGCGGCCGGTTAAGTCTCTGCTGAACTTCATTCTTGATGAGTCTGAAGAGTCTGGAGTAGGTCTCAGTCTGACGGTCGGGGACTAAGGTGAAGATGAGGGGATAGGTTGTGGTTCCACGTCTTGCATGTAGGATGTACACTTGATTCCACAGACCAGGGCAGGCAGTAAAGGTTCCATCCATATAGATGATTTCAGAAGACTGCAAGGCCTGAAGACTATCCATGGTGGCAAATGCCAGGATCTTATCGTCATCACCATTTGAAAACAGGAGGAAGGGTCGACCATCTGCTGTCTGCGTCCAGGAATCTTGAAGGTTCACTTCCGATCTCGTCTGCGGCGAAACAGGAATTGTCTTCTGTCGATGGCGGTACATAGCACTGCTCATGGTCGGGAAGGATGGCATCAATGGTATCTTATCATTGTCCAAGTTCGTAATCTCGTTGTTGTAGAGGGTGTGAATCGATGTTGACTCCTCCCTCGCTCTCTTCCTCAGGTTGCTGACAAACCGGACCTTCTGGCTATCCTCAGGCGGATGATTATGCTCCGTCGCATTCCTCAAAACATTTCTCATCTCAGTGTCAATTTCAACATTTACTTCATTGCATCTTAACAAACTTTCTCTAACCAAGAACACCTTAATCCTTTCTAATTTGTATACACAACACTTTAATCGCTCCCATGGGTAAGTTCATTATGCCAGACAGGTAAATGCCGTGTGTTGTTTTAACTAATTGTAGGGGTACTGGGATGTAGGGGTAATGGGATGTAGGGGTAATGGGATACAACCGAACTGGCTGTCTGCGTAATGGGAGGACACCCCCACTACGAGGGTCATCTGCTACCGAATTCTGCCGGCGATATCTCTCCCAGAGCCGTGAAATGGTGCTTTGCTGAACATTCATGCGTCGGGCAACTGCACGTTGAGACTGGCCAGCTTCAAGCAAACCAATGGCGATATGACGGTTGGCTTCACTTAGACGTGGCATTTTGCGTTCGTCAACAATATCCAAATACAGTGAATAATCGACAGACAGCGATCAACCTTTTATACCCATCATTGAGACTATCTGATCCCCAACTTTCACGTGCATTGCATGTGAACTGTGTATTCTGTGACACTACACGCCGAAATTTAAAATCATGCTGTTAAATACGGGTATTTTACAGATGGTGCGTTTTGTTGTGATGTTTCAAAACATCAACACCATAGGACTCATAAACAGAGCAAAACCTTTTGTGAAATGAATCACGTTTTAATTCATTGCTACATGAAATTGCTATTTTCATGATGCGTTTCTTTTTTGGGAGAGTATATATTAATAACTGTGGATTATCATACATATTTAACAACCCTTTACTTTTGTTAGGTTGTGTCCCATCCGGGATTCAAACCCACACTATGAGGGTCAGGCAACTAATCGCCAACACATAAAGCCATAATCATCCATGCTTCAACTTGAAGAATAAGGATTCGGGGTTAAAAAAAACTCTAAATAGTGTAGTCAGCAATTCATCTGAGTTAATTATTGTATATGCTTACTTTTGATTTTCGAATTTTATTTGTGCAATGGTAAACAATTTAGTAAATTGACCGCCTAATTCCTTCGAGCAAGTGCCTCTGAAATATCAAGTCGAGATTCAACAATTCAGTGGCTGCGGCACGCAATCCCTAATGTCAGCTACCCAGACCACCCAATCCACAGATAGTCCTCTCTCACCATTGGTTGCTCAGGTTGTTATGACTGACAGCAACACAATTTAGGAACGCTTCAAAATATTCAGTGACGACACATCCTTTCCACGAGTGCGTATGGATGGCTGTTTAAATTGTTTTCAGGCACGTAGCAAGCCATTTTTGTGTAAGCCCGATAGGTTGCAAAGCGTTATATATTTAGGTAGTATTGCTTGCCGAACCTTTTAGCCAAAATCATGTTTAAGCCCGGGCTCTTTTTCGTAATGGTCGCTACGCCCCTGGTTTTTACAAAATCCTGAGAGATGGTATCATCTGGTGATCAATGAAATCCATTCAACTATATATCATTTGATATGTTAAATTAATTATATTTTAATGAATTTAACTACTACAAAATTTATCAACGAGTGGGGTTGTCAGATGTACTCTTTTATGATAACGTAAACATCGACATGCCGATATTACTAAGCAAATATCCCCAGTTATCGAAAAGAATGGTCCTTGGCAGCCTCTATTCCGCAACCTGCAACATGACATGGCAACAGGATCTTAATGGCAATATCGGCTGGGCGAGTGATGCCGAATTTACCCGATTGACAACGGCCGCTGACATCATACAAAATAGTAGTAAAACAATCATTGTTCCACATGCGTCGCAAATATTGAGACTTCTCTACAGTTACAGACATATTAACATCATATTTATATATGTGTAGATATAAGGTAACTAAATAGGTATTTGAACATATTTTTATTTTCAATGCCAAATGCCCCGGATGTTCACTATAGCAACGAGTCATTCAAGTCAAAATGGCTGAATCGGAGACGATGAGTGTTGACACCAGCAATGATACAGCTGAAGATCCACTTCAAGATCTTACAGATGAACAATTATTTCAACTCGTCGAAGAGACACTGTATGTATTCTATTATGTATTTGCTAAGATTTGGTAGATTGTAAAAGTGTTTGTAAACTTCTGGTTTCACCGCGAAATCTGAGATCAGTGATCTTTGCTGTCAACAGTTCAACAACGTCTTGCTCGATATGTAAATATTTTCGTATACAACATTGATTCAGCACAATAGTAACACCCAGATTGTATTAAGATTGTATACAGAGTATATGAATCATTCACGATTTATAACACGATAGTAGGTAGTCACATCGATTTACAAACACTGTAAATGAAACTTTCTCATTGACTGAAAATATTGCTCCCAAAATATTATCATTCTCATGGTCTTCTGTTTTTCAAATTACCATTCGTGGTGTTATTTCGGGACAGGGCGAATAGAGACTTGTGCCTGTCTGGAAGGATTTCATATTGTCCTATGTACAAGGAAACTATTTTTTTTCAAAACAATAACGCTGTTTCTACCCTAATTCCCACCACAGTGAGGTATAAGGCTGTCAAAGAATGACTCCTTAAAATATCTTAAGCAGAAGCATTCCCTGGTGAGTGAGATATATAGTGTAGATTACAAGGTATGTATGGGTATTTGTCAATTTGTGTAAACTTGCACGTAACATAGCTGCCATACCTCTGGTGGGATTTTGAAATGAACACACTGAAGAAAATGTGAATAACTTATGAAAATGTGTGGCTAAAACAAGTGTAATGTAAATATTTAAGATAAAAGTTGATTAGCTATAAATCTACCAATATATACTCTTAGCTATTAGTTACTTGAAACTCAGAGCTCCAGATAAGATTTAGCTCATGTGGGTACTGTACCCACTGTATTTTTGGAGTGGGTATTATGAATGTTGAGTGGGTATTTCATTTTCCGTTACCCACTGCTTTCAAATATGTGCGTATTTCAGTCATTTACTTACCTAAGTATTATGTCATTGAGTAAGTTTACTAAGCAGGTATGTTCTGCCTTTTGTCATACCTAATCAAAACCAACTTAAATATAATGGAAATGATTTCATAAAAAATCTCTCATCCTATACTGACAGTACAACACTAGTCCTATACTAACAGTACAACTTGATAGCAATCAATGTCTTTTTCATTACGCATCGATTTTTATAAATATATTGCGTACGCATTTGTTTTAAACTTTTTTCGTATCTAACATTTTAAATGCGTAATTGGTACACAACAATTATTTTCCAATGCGTAATTGAAAATTTTCTATACGTATTTTACCCAGATACGCAGCTTATCTGGGCCTCTGAAAATATTCATAAATCATAATACATATCAAGATATCATGTATCACTGCAGGGCTCCAGATAAGGGCCGAATCGGTGTATGTACGGATAGAAAATATGCACGATACCGTAGGAAATAATTTAGAAAACATCGCAGATACGCACCACACAGCAATGGTGTATGGTCTTAAAACCATTTACAGACGTATTTATCTGAAAAAGTATTGTTTTATTGTTTATTGACCTGTTTACACAAGATCAGCAATGTTGTGGTGCATATATAAAACAAAACACAAGATTACTGATACGCCATTATTTTCCATTCAGTACTCTAAATGTACTCCAGTACTCCTATATTGAAAAAATAAGGAGTACGTACTCCTGATGTTGAAAAATTATCTGGAGCCCTGCACTGTATATCCATGGCATAATGTCTGCTAAGAACTTCAATTCATGCAACACAAGCTTCTTTTTTTTTTTTTTTTTTTTCACTGAATTCCAATTTCTTGTTTCATAAGAAAATGGCATTTACAAGTTGATTATAATTTTAAACTTTTTTTTTTTTTTCCTCTTTTTTTTTTTATTGTTCCCAATGTGATGAGTACAAAAACATGATGAGTACAAGCATATAGAGGAATGTGTCATAATCATACAAGCTAGTGGGCTCAATAGCGATATAGTACACTAAGTGCATTGAATATCAATGTTAGTGATATGTTCTTTGTTTAATAGTCATTCAGGGTTAAATTCAGGGATGAGAGGAAACCATTTGACTAAAAAGCTTTCAACATTATTATTTTTCTGGCGATGAATGATTCAGTGGTAAATATGTCTTTCAATATCCTTAAGTAATTATCAACTTTTGGAATTGTTTTTGTCAAAGAGCAAGTGTAAATATATCTCTTAGCAGATAAGATTCTGTGGTTCAATAATGGGTTCTTACCTAAAAAGCCAAACCAAATCAAAGATTTTGTCAAATTAAGTGTTTGGATACGCTTAAGTAATCCACTGTTCAAGTTTCTTCCAGAAAGTTTTGGTTTCATCACATTCCCAATATACATGGCATAAAGTTTCAACAGAATCATTACACAAAGAACATATTGTATTGTCCACCAGATTCATTCTAAAAAGTTCTTTTTTGGTATAAACAATTCCGTGCAGAAATTTATATTGAAAATCTAACAGTTTCACATCTCTTAAATCTTTTCTACAAGTATGAAAAATCAGATGCCAATCAAAATCAATACAGTCAAATAATGTTTCCCATTTTTGGCACATGTGAGGTTTAACATTTTCAGATAACAATTTATCATAAAATAATCTTGAACCTTTTCTTGGGGATATGAAATCCTTTTGGAGTGAATTTATTGTGAGGTCATTAATGTTTATATATCTATATTCCTTTAAAGTCTTTTTCCAAGGTTCAGGTAAAATATATATAACATATCCAAGATCTAAGTGAGTACCTTTTATATCAAATTTAAGCTTCAATTGATCAAAGGATATAAACCCATGTTCATCACAAAGATCTTATGCAACACAACCTTGTTAACAATGTACTTTGCAATGTCGAATTATCAATATGTTGTGTTTTTCATGCTATTGTAAACCACATACTTACATAACAGATTTAGTTTCTAGACAGAAGGACATTTTAGAGTGGAAGTATTAGAATATCTAAAATCCAGGTTCAAGCAGTTGCACCAACTCAAACCCAATAGTAATTGTCATTTGGTAATGATCAGCCAGGATAATGCACATGTTGATTAAGTCATTGCAATTCACACGTTCAATTCTGAAAAGAATTGGGAAAATTTATAACCATATGATTTCCCCACCAAAATAGCGGTGGTTTGAAAAATGAATAATCATGCTCATGTTATGTTATGTTATTTAGACAGCAATTCCTCTTAGTGACAAATACAATATGTCATCTATGGACATAAGTGAAGTGAAGTCCAATGAACATCTTCAATGACTTGATTACTTACTTATATCCCTGTGTAGTTATTTTGTTTGTGTCATTGGCTCTTACACACATATTTATTATTGAGAGAATTGTTTGTTGTAGGCAAACTCAAGCCTGCTAATTTAAGAAAGAACAAAATGCCAGTTATCAGCTACTTGAACATGTCTGATCATTTTCTTGTCAGTATTTCAAAGTTTGCCCTGGGTCACAAGGAAAAAAGGCCTAAATCATACAACACCTTTAAAAAAGTTAGTGACATGAAGATTTTGATTGTCATAATTTCTCATTTTAATTTTCATCTCATTACTTCATTACTTGTAGACGGGCAAATGAGGTCCTTGCTGCAGAAACGCAGATGTTTGAGAAATTTCTCAAGCGTGTTGAGCCGAAGGACATGCCTGGAGTGGTGGTTCAACCAACCATGGGAGCCCTTCAGTCTCAGTCCACCCAGGAAATGAGAGGTGTGGGACGGAAGCGGTCCAAGTCACGCAGTAGCAACCTGGATAAGTCCCTCAAACTTACTGCTGAACAGAAATGTGACATTGCTCAGAGAGAAATAGAAGAGTTGCGAGAGGAAATAGAGAAATTGAAGGAAGACTCTGAGAAAATCATGGACACTTACAAGGTGTGTTGTATCAGATGAGTGAATGAGTCTGATTTTACGCCGCTTTTAGCAATATTCCAGCAATATCACGGCAGGAACACCAGAAATAGGCTTCACACATTGTACCCATGTGGGGAATCAAACTTGGGTCTTTGGTGTGATGAGCGAACGCTTCAACCACTAGGCTACCCCGCCTACCCGGTATCAGATGAACATTCCAGACATGAATATACTTGGTGTAACTTTGAACTGTATGAAAATATTATTTTAGACTGCAGATTTAGCCTGAAGTCAAAAGCCAGTCTTGTATGATAATTTTGTCTTGTTAAGTGACATAAGTGCTCTTTATGTTAATATGGTCAAGCACATTAAGCAAACTTAAATTTCATGCTTTGTTAATAACAGATTGTCAATGGCATGTATAAATGATAATCAGTGTTATAGTCATTACTAAGGAAAATGTGAAGTTTTCCTCATTCTTTGTGATTTTTATGAATAATTAATGACAATTAGTATACTTTTTTTAAAGTAGGTGATTTAATGTAATTTCAACTGTTCATCTAATTGTTCAACCGTTAAACCTGAAGGCAATAATGGAGGAGGCGGACATGCGTCTAGCAGAGATGAAGAAAGACTCCTATGAGTTTGACCGAGATATTGTTAAGGGTGCTGTCAACCAGAGGACAACCAAAGTGATTGCTGAGAAGGTCATCCGTTATTTTGAAGATAAACTAAGAGCAAGGGTAAGCATATTAACAACTGTTGTTGCCTTCTCGTAAAAGTTCAGTTTCACTGAAACATTGAATGGCAGGCAGGTCTGATGTCAGTACTACTGGACTTGCTGATTGATGTTCCTATTTTCATTAGGAAATTGGTTCTCCCTTTCATAGCATGGCATATGCTTATCTCAGCAAGCTGATTTTTCAAGTGACTAAAATATACTTTTGTCATTTATCATGAATACACAATGCCATGTAGAAAGTGGTGAAAAGTAACACATGCTATATTTGGGATTACACTTTCTCAGTAAAGTGCAGATTCTAGTACAAAATTGGGGGTTGACAAGGGAGGGGGCGGAGTCCATCAGGGATTCAGACCCACACTCTCAGAGGCAGGCAGGTGTTTGACTCTGAGAGTTTGGGTTTGAATCCTAGACGGAACTTCACCTGAAAAACAGTACTAATATTACTTTGTCTCAACTGTTTTTTAGGCAGTATTCTGGCATAGTTGGAGTATATGTATATGTGTGTGTTTTCCCCCCAGGATACACTTATTGAAAAGTTGCGACTGAAAAATTCCACGCTGAAAGTACAGAAGAAAAAGCTTCATCTTCAGCTGAAACAGGTTAGTATAATGCCTCACATTACTGACCTTCATCCTCAACACACAGTGGATTACTGTCTTATCAGTCTTAAAGAGTTCACATCATTATACACATTGTGAAATGTTGTTATATCTGTATTGGGCAGTTACAAGGTTTGCTAAAATCTAAATACCGGTACAAGTCTCAGCCTGGATAGTGGGTCAACCATTGTGGATATAGATATTGACCAGATTGTGAAATGTTTCCTCCTGTTGTGATTATGTACATGAACATATTTATCAACTCATCAAGATTCAGGTTAGAATTGGTATTCAGTATCACATGCTTGTTGTAAGAGGCATCTAACATGTGGTCAGGCCCACTGACTAGATTGGCCCTATGATGAATGGGAACCACCCTGATAACAAGTCTGGCTACATTTCTGCCTAAGATATAAAACATTAAGTCAAATATGATTGGATAAGACCTGGCCATGGTAGTGACCTCGACATACACCATTGGAAGACACATCATTTCTTCTAGATATCAAAAGTATAGTCATGGATTTTGTTGATTTTGAGTTCCTGCCCGGGACGACTAGACTCCAGTCATAAAGAAAGTCTGTAGGAGGTCTGAATTGGGACAGAGTCCTTTGGGTACATTTGCCAAGTTGGACATTAACTCTGAATGTTTTAAACTTATCAGTAGGCATGTTGTAGGTCTGAGGAGATCATTTGATGATTGGTGTTTATCTGCATTGAAAGATGCAAGTAGTATGTTATGTTCTGGGCAAAATGAGCAAGTACATGGCTAGGTTTTACTTTATTTGTTAAATGTGTGTCAGTGAGTTCATTATATCATCAGCTTGGCATTCAGGTAATGGCTGCTTGTTAAGCAAAATGTTGGAAATGCAATATCATGGTACATATTGTATCATGACTTTAGCATCAAGATACATATTGTATCGTGAGACACCTGTATCATGATGCACATGTACTGTGACATCCCTAATTCTGAGTGTGTCATGAAACAGCAACCATCCATATGTTTGATATGTTTGTCAGGCTAATATTGTACCTCATCCTCAATTTAGAAAGGTGAGTTACATATGTAATCAAATCAACAATAATTGTTGTAGAATACATGCCTGTCTGTAGGTATTCACCATCTATATATCGGGGGTTGGACTACCTGTATACAAGTTTGGCTTTGTTTTGTTCAGGATGTGGTGACTCGACCACCTTTATACATGTTTATGTGTCTGAATGGAAAAAAGTGTTTTACAACACATGCTCAGTATGTGTTGTAAAAAGGTGAGTGTCAACATACATGTGTCAGTCTGTATGTTTTTCAAGAACTTTGTGCCTACCACATGCCTCTGTATTGAGTAGATGTATCTCATCAATATAAGTTCAGCATTTGTTTTGTAAACAGGTGAGTTGGAAATCTGAATGTGTTCCATGTGTTTGTCTGAACAATACTATGTCTCTCTGTAATGACTGGATGTGTCTGTAAGTGTGCAGTATCTGTGTTGTAGAAGCCCCTGTATGTGTTCCATGTGTTTGTCTGAACAATGCTATGCCTCTGTAATGACTGAATGTGTCTGTAAGTGTGAAGTATCTGTGTTGTAGAAGCCCCTGTATGTGTTCCAGATGTTTGTCTGAACAATACTATGCCTCTGTAATGACTGAATGTGTCTGTAAGTGTGAAGTATCTGTGTTGTAGAAGCCCCTGTATGTGTTCCAGATGTTTGTCTGAACAATACTATGCCTCTGTAATGACTGGATGTGTCTGTAAGTGTGACGTATCTGTGTTGTAGAAGCCCCTGTATGTGTTCCAGATGTTTGTTTGAACAATACTATGCCTCTGTAATGACTGGATGTGTCTGTAAGTGTGCAGTATCTGTGTTGTAGAAGCCCCTGTATGTGTTCCATGTGTTTGTCTGAACAATACTATGCCTCTGTAATGGCTGGATGTGTCTGTAAGTGTGAAGTATCTGTGTTGTAGAAAGAGGAGATGGGAGAGGTGCTGCATGAGGTGGATTTCAACCAGTTGAAGATCGAGAACCAGCAGTACCTGGAGAAGATAGATGAGCGAAACCAGGACCTGCTGCGCCTCAAGCTGATGGCAGGGAACACTCTGCAGGTCCTCAACTCGTACAAGGTGAGGCCAGTCAGGCTGTGTAGTTTTAGGACTCAATGTCAAACAGCAATTTGACAAACCAATAGGTAAATAAACGCCATATGAGCTGGAGAATAGGAAATAAACTGTTATGTGTAAGTGAGTCAGTTTAGTTTTATGCCCGCTAAGCAGTATCCCAGCTATATGACGGCGGTCTGTAAATAATGGAGTCTGGACCAGACAATCCAGTGATCAACAGCATAAGTATCGATCTACGCAATTGGGATATAATGACATGTGTCAACTAAGTCACCGAGCCTGACCACCCGATCCTGTTATTCACCTATTTTGCCAAGCATGGGTTACTGAAGATCAATTCTAACCCAGATCTCCACGGGTGAATACAGTGTTATGAACATGTGTTGAAGTTGGTGAATTGATAAGAGTATCGCCTTGTGACATATATGCCGTATTGTGTCTGGTTAATATATGGTACCAAACACTGTAGAATGTTGAAAAAATGCTTAGAGGCATTGCGTGTATTCAAAGATCTATGTGTTGACAAATTGAGAGCAAGCGATGACACAATTTTAAAATTTTGCATTTTTTCAAGTTATTTACACTGGTGCATGTTATATGTCACTAAATTGAGCCGTGTATTATAAAGCACTAGTTGGTCAGATTCATGAAGAATGACTTGATTGTCACTGCTGCTTCTGGTCATTAGTGATGTGCTGTGAGTGCCCAGGTGATGTACCCAATTTGTCATTTGTATTTGTCATTGCAGAAAAAGCTCTATACACTAACAATGGAGTCTGAACGTCTTGGATCAGAGATATCCTCAAGAAATGACTTGCTGTCCAAGATAGATGCTGAGACCAAGGTTGTTGAGCAGGTACAGGTTACCAGGATTTACAAAAATCACCAGATAGTATATCTATGTATGGTGAAATGGGGTGTGTGTACATGTGTACCCTTGTATGCACGTGTCTGCTTGTACTCATGCTAATTTTTCGGACTAACCATGACTCAGTGCAAGTCCCCTGACATATCATACCGTAGTTTATCCTGGAGACAACTAAGACACAGTGTCCTGTGTTCGCTAGTCCCTGTTATAGCCTTGACTCTGAGTGCTTGGCAGACTTACTAGTACCATCTCTAAACAAGTGTTGGTATAATGTCACCAGGGATTAAACCACTGTCCATTCATTCTCAAGGTTAAAATGCTCTTTCCATAGAGTGGCAGCTGACTGAAAATACTAACCTTGGGGAACTGACCTTACTTTTGCATGATTGATTTTACATTTGTAGGTACTTTGTAACTCTGAATAGTTCAAGTCATTCTATATAATTCTTAGGGATGGATATATGATGTATACCTTCGAATTTTCAGGAGCGAGCCAAGGCTGAGAACATTAACCGCAAACTGCGTCAGCAGCTAGCAGACTTCCGTGTGCCAGAGGTCATGGAGTATGTGTCAGAAAAGGCAGATCTGTATGAGATACAGAAGAAAGTCAAAAGCTGGGAGAGAAAAGTGGAGATTGCAGAGGTAGGACTGGTTCCTGGAGTGAATGGTAGAGATTAGAAGGATGGACATGGGAGAGAGGTAGGAATTAGAAGAGTAGGGCTGGGAGAGAAAAGTGGAGATTGCAGAGGTAGATCTGGTTCCTGGAGTGAATGGTAGAGATTAGAAGGATGGACATGGGAGAGAGGTAGGAATTAGAAGAGTAGGGCTGGGAGAGAAAAGTGGAGATTGCAGAGGTAGATCTGGTCCCTGGAGTGAATGGTAGAGATTAGAAGGATGGACATGGGAGAGAGGTAGGAATTAGAAGAGTAGGGCTGGGAGAGAAAAGTGGAGATTGCAGAGGTAGATCTGGGTCGTGGAATGAATGGTAGAGATTAGAAGGATGGACATGTGAGAGAGGTAGGAATTAGAAGAGTAGGGCTGGGAGAGAAAAGTGGAGATTGCAGAGGTAGATCTGGGTCGTGGAATGAATGGTAGAGATTAGAAGGATGGACATGGGAGAGAGGTAGGAATTAGAAGAGTAGGGCTGGGAGAGAAAAGTGGAGATTGCAGAGGTAGATCTGGTTCCTGGAGTGAATGGTAGAGATTAGAAGGATGGACATGGGAGAGAGGTAGGAATTAGAAGAGTAGGGCTGGGAGAGAAAAGTGGAGATTGCAGAGGTAGATCTGGGTCGTGGAATGAATGGTAGAGATTAGAAGGATGGACATGGGATAGAGGTAGGAATTAGAAGAGAAAGGCTGGGAGAGAAAGGTGGAGACTGAGTGATAGAGGAGAAGGGAAGGGTGGAGATTGAAGGATAGAATGGAAGGGAAAGATGGAGATTGCAGGGGAGAAGAAAAAGATGTAGACTGAAGGATTGAGGAGAAGGGGAAGGTGGACATTGAAGGATAGAATGGAAGAGAAAAATGTAGATTGAAGATAGAGCAGAAGGGATAGAGATGCAGAAGGTGCAGGAAGGAAGATAGTGAACTTAAGAGAAAAGATGAAGATGGATATTGCAGTGTAGAACCAAAGGGAAAGATGGAGATTGCAGGGTAGAGCTGGAATGGAAAGGTGGAGATTGCAGGGTAGAGGTGGAAGAGAAAGGTGGAGATTGCAGGGTAGAGGTGGAAGGGAAAGGTGAAGATTGCAGGGTGGAGGTGGAAGGGAAAAGGTGGAATTGCAGGGTAGAGGTGGAAGAAGAAAGGTGGAGATTGCAGGGTAGAGGTGGAAGGAAAGGTGGAGATTGCAGGGTAGAGGTGGAAGAGAAAGGTGGAATTGCAGGGTAGAGGTGGAAGGAAAGGTGGAGATTGCAGGGTAGAGGTGGAAGAAAGGTGGAGATTGCAGGGTAGAGGTGGAAGGGAAAGGTGGAGATTGCAGGGTAGAGGTGGAAGGGAAAGGTGGAGATTGCAGGGTAGAGGTGGAAGAGAAAGGTGGAGATTGCAGGGTAGAGGTGGGAAGAGGTGTGGATTGAAGGTGGGGAGATGGAAGGGTAAGGTGGAAGAGAAGGTGGACAGATTGCAGAAGTAGAGGTGGAAGAGGAAGGTGGAGATTAGGAGGTGGAAGGGGTGGAAGGGTGGAATTGCAGGGTAGAGGTGGAAGGGAGGGGTGGAGATTGCAGGGGGTAGAGGTGGAAGGAAAGGTGGAGATTGCAGGAGTAGAGGTGGGAAGTGAAAGTGTGGGAGGGAATTGCAAGAGGTGGAAGAGAAAGGTGGGATATTGCAGGAGTAGAGGTGGGAAGAGAAAGGTGGAGATGCAGAGTGGAGAGTGGAAGAAAGGTGGAGATGCAGGGTGAGGTGGAAGAGGTGGGGTGCAGGGTGAGGTGGAAGGGGAAAGGTGGGAAGGGTGGAAGAAGGTTGGATTGCAGGGTGGAGGTGGAAGGGGTGGGATTGGAGGTGTTGCAGGGGTAGGGTGGAAGGGAAAGGGTGGGAGATTGCAGGGTGTAGAGGTGGAAGGGAAAGGTGGGGATTGCAGGGTAGAGGTGGAAGGTGGAAGTGAAAGGTGGAGGGTGGGATTGGGGTGGGGGTGGAAGGGAAGGTGGAGATTGCAGGGGTAGAGGTGGAAGGGAAGGGTGGGATATTAGGGGTAGGGTGGAAGGGAAAGGTGAGGTGGAAGGTGGAAGGGAAAGGTGGAGATTGCAGGGGAGAAAGGTGGAAGGGTGAAGGGTGGGAAAGGTATGATGCAGGGTAGAGGTGGGAAGGGGAATTGCGGGGTGGGAGGTGGAATAGGGTGTAGAGGTGGAATAGGGAAAGGTGGAGGCAAGTGAGGTGGAAAGGAAGGGTGGAGGTGGGGGTAGGAAGAAAGGTGGGAGCTTGCAGGGTAGAAGAAGAGGTGGGAAAAGGTGGGATGGACAGGAATAGAGGGTGGAAAGAGGTGGGAAGATGGAGGGGTGGAAGTGGAAGGGGAAGGTGGAGATTGCAGGGTGGGGTGGAAGAGAAAGGTGGAGGTGCAGGGTGGGGTGGAAGGGAAAGGTGGAGATGCAGGGGTAGGGGTGGAAGGGAAGGGTGGAGGTGCAGGGAGTGAGGGTGGAAGGGAAAGGTGGGGTGCAGGGTAGGGTGGAAGGAAGGTGGAGATTGCAGGGTGGGGTGGAAGAAGGTGGAGTTGCACAAGGTAGAGGTGGAAGGGGAAAGGTGGGAAGGGTGAGGTGGAAGGAAAGGTGGGTGCAGGGGTGGAGTGGAAGAAGGGTGGAGGTGCAGGGGTGGGGAGGAAGGTGGAGATTGCAGGGTGAGGTGGAAGAAAGGTGGAGATTGCAGGGTAGAGGTGGAAGGGAAAGGTGCGGACAGGGGTAGGGTGGAAGGGAAAGGTGGGGTGGAGGGGTGAGGTGGAAGAGAAAGGAGGGGCCCAGGAGTAGGGAGTGGAAGGTGGAAAGGATGGAGGTCACGAGGGTGGAAGAGAAGGGTGGAGATTGCAGGAGTGAGGTGAGGAAGGAGAAAGGTCGGTTGCAGGATAGAGGTGGAAGGGTGGAGGGTGCAGGGGTAGAGGTGGAAGGAAAGGTGGGGGTGCAGGGGTGGAGGTGGAAGGGAAGGGGCAGGTGGGTGGGGGTGAGAGGTGGAAGGAAAGGTGGGAGGTGCAGGATAGAGGTGGAAGGGGAAGGTGGAGGTGGAGGGTGGGGTGGAAGAGAAGGTGGAGGTGCGGGGTAGGGTGGAAGGAAGGTGGAAGTGGGGTACAGGAAGAAGGTGGAGAGGGTGGAGGTGGGGGAGGGGAAAGGTGGAGATTACGGGGTGGGGTGGAAGGGAAAGGTGGGGAGCAGGGGGTGAGGTGGAAGAGAAAGGTGGAGATATTGCGGGGTGAGGGTGGAAGAAAAGGTGGAATTGCAGGGAGTGGGGTGGAAGAAAAGGTGGGAATTGCGGGTGGGGTGGAAGAGAAGGTGGAGTGCAGGGTGGGGTGGAAGGGGGAAGGTGGAGATTGCGGGGTGACACAGAAAGGTGGACAAAGAGGAAAGGTCACAGGAGTAAGTGGAAATGGAAGGGAAAGGTGCAGGAAAAAGGTGGGGGTGCAGGGTAGAGGTGGAAGGGAAGATGGAGATTGCGGGGTAGAGGTGGAAGGGAAGGTGGGTGCGGGGTAAGGTGGAAGGGAAGGTGGAGCTTGCAAGGGTGAGGTGGTGGTTTCAGAATTGATAACCAGTGCAGTTCGTTGGACAGTGAAAAGACATACAGCAGGAATTGAAAGGAAATAGTTTAGTGGATAAAGGCATGTTTTTACATGAAATATGTGCTGAAGATGAAGACCCAGGAAGACATGGACACAGATGCAGATGAACACTCAATGGACAATGGATGACAGCCTTGATGACAGGACAAAGGAGAACACTGGTGGCAAGGGTGGGTAATGATGGAGGTGATGGATTGGGGTATTGGGTATGGGTGGTAAAGTGTGGAGTGGAGAAGGTTAAACTGGAATGGATGGAAGGACAGGAAAATGGAACAGCAGAAGGAAAGAATTCGTCGCTGAAATAGTGGTTCTTATAATGTATTGAGTGTGACGTTTGTTTCGACTGTGCGTGGTTTATGGATCCGTATTCCGATCCGTCCGTATTTGGAACCGACAGTTTGGAAAGCGAGGATGCGTGTTTGTACGTGTTATGGAACGGTTACGGTAAGGCGGGTGGTGGTGTTACCGGGTTACGAGTACACATCCATTGTCTTTGAATAAACTCAGTATGTTTCACCTCATGTGCTTCCTGCTGGTTTGTTTTGTGGTGAAGAGATTATGAGCCTTGCCTAGAAGCCAGATCGATTACCATCTGAGAAGCTCACTCTTTGTGATATGGTTGGAAAGATGCTGAAGGTCTATTACATACAACACACTGCTAATGTAAAGATTCAAAAGTGTAAAAATCACTATTGAAAAACAACATAACAGTTCCTGCAGACACAATGAATGCAATTTATTCTGAAAATCATAAGCTTTACAAGTCAGGATGGAATTTGAAGACAGATATCCAGAGGTAAAAGCTGACAATCAGTTTTGATAGCTGTCATCAAATTCCAGTAATGCTTTAAACAAACAAGACAGTCCAACCTTTAGTCTTGTACACATTGCAGCTGCCAACACAACAAACATATCTTGTGTTCTTTGGAAAACGGGAGAAGAAATTGCGAATAAAAAATGGTTTAATAACTTCCTTATTGGTTAGTTTCACCTCACAAGATCCGTCCTTTGATTCAAACAGTCTGAGAGAGATAGGTGAGACTGCAGGATAGAGCTGGCAGAGAAATGTGGAGCCTGCAAGGGTAGATCTGGTAGAGACAGGTAGAAATTGCAGGATAGAGCTGGCAGAGAAATATGGAGCCTGCAAGGGTAGATCTGGTAGAGACAGGTAGAGATTGCAGGATAGAGCTGGCAGAGAAATGTGGACCCTGCTAGGGTAGAGTTTGCAGAGACAGGTGGAACCTGCAGGGGCAGAGAAATGAGGACCCTGCAAGGGTAGAGCTTGCAGAGACAGGTGGAAAGTGCAAGGGTAGAGCTTGCTGAGAAATGTGGACCCTGCAAGGGCAGATCTGGTAGAAACATAAGGAACCTGCAAGGGTAGAGCCTGCAGAATCACAAGGAACCTGCAAGGGTAGAGCTTGCAGAGACATAAGGAGCCTGCAAGGGTAGATCTGGTAGAGACATAAGGAGCCTGCAAAGGTAGATCTGGTAGAGACATAAGAAACCTGCAAGGGTAGAGCTTACAAGGATAAGCCTCAATAGGGTAATGAATCTTGTGATAGACTGCAATGTTGATAAGATGAAGCCAAACGGCTTGTGTAAACTGACAGAACTCTCCCATCAGCTCAACTGGATTATATAACAATTAAAATAAGTCCAACAAAAACATTTAAATACATATATCAGGACAACAGTGATCTAACAAGGGATTGTGTGTCCTCTTTGTCGAGTTGTCATTGTGGGAAAACATTGATGGCTCAAAACATGTAACATCAGAATAACATTAGTCATTTGAATTTACTGGGTAATTTGCCACTGATGTTTCATATTAATTTACTTCTATTTGGTGAATATGAATACTCCACTAAGGTCCTTCTTAAACCAATCTGAAGTTAAGGAATGCTGTCCAGGGCTCGATTGAGTGCTTTGTTACTTGCACAGGTGCAACCCAATATTACAAAGTGCAACCTAGTTATTAGTCTAACTTGCACCAAGTGCAAGTAAATTTTTGAGTGGGTAAACTTCTGAATAAAACATCTAAATAATTCAATAGCATATTTCATTACCAATTGCAAAATAAAAGCAGTGCAAATGGAATTTGTCTGGTGTTACTAGGTTTTTATCTTAGGTTGCACCTGGTGCGAGTAGGTGAAACATTTCTAAATCGAGGCCTGCTGTCCAACTTGTGGGCACCATTCTTGTGGGGAGTATCAGTTTAGCAGATTTCAGATGAATTTAAAACTTTAGCTTTTAAAATTTCAACAATTCAAATTCAATCTTCTGTTTGTTATCCACCATCTTTTTTGGTTCTGAAAGTGATGTCTTGTTTAACAGTCCCGAACAAGTATACATCTGGGAAACGTCATCAGTCTCGACCCTGTGTATCTTACATGCAGGAACTGCAGATGTATTACTGAAAGAAATGCTAGGGAAACAACTGATTCTTTCTCATTATTTAGTTAAAGGCACAATGTCACACATTTTCGACAATATTTTGGCCTATATTATATTGGGGCATATGCACTCACTTAAGCTTCCTATTGATGCAATAAAAGGCTTATTATCCCTTACGAATTGCCTGAAATCGATAATTGAGACTTCAGGGTGAACAGCTTCCAAACAGCGAACACTTGCCATATGTGGTATGGAAACAATTGCTCCATACATCGAAAACTGGTGCATGCTGTGTTGTCGGTGTTTGCCGAACTGGTTTCAATCACAAGTTGTGCGTAGGATATTCGTAAAGAGCGCCCCAAGGGACATAACTCTATGGGATTCGATTGAAATAATGTTTGGCCGGTGGAGGGCGTAAGAGTCGATTTAATGCAATTTTGCATTAATTCATTTCAACTTTTTAATTCAATATTGTAATCTAAATACGTAATTCTTCTGGGAATAAATTATACTTTGGCTTCTCAGTGAGGGCTAATAGTTAGTATTACTGAGAGAAATGCATTATTTATTTTTAGAGAAGTGTGGTGTGAAATAGTGCCTTTAATAATTGACAAGTATATAATTACATATATACCCTTGATTCATTCAACTGTACATTTGTGAATTTGTGTACATTTTCACAGGGGTCCACATTAGTGAGGTTCCACTACATACTTTCACAAACATAGGGAGTTCATTTAACTACTAGTTTTACAGGCCAAGAATATTCATAATGTGTGTCTCAAATAATGAGAAAAATGGTAAATAATGACGACAGAACGCTCATCTCAAATACTACAAAACAGGTGAATATTAATGCCATGCTGAACATAACACAGTAGTGCCAAAATGCAGAAATACTGAGGTCGAATATATACACATAGGTCCACACACAACAATATAGAAAACTCAATCTTTGAAGGGTAAACACAGCCATGTTTCTTAGCCCCCTACCCCTTCTCTGGTGTTGTCATAGCAACTGTTCTAGAATGCGGAATACATTTATTATGGAAGACACTAATAGGTTACGGGTATACTATCAAGACATATTCATTTCATCCATGTCTTAACAAACTTTAAGGAAAACAATATTCATCAAATACACAAATATAATAAAACTTGAGAAATGTCAACGTCTTTCTCACTTATAATTGTGCTCTTTGGAGGGCATTTAGAAGTGGTAGAAAATGAAGACATGAAGCCTATTGATATCAACTTCTTTATGATTTGCGACAGTGTTTCAGGGTGACTTCTTGCCTCTTCCTCTGACTAAGTGTACTGACTTAATTGCCACTCTCAACTGATGTGTAATCTGCAATAATGACAGTCTCAGCAACAAAATCCAGAACCTTAATCACACCTACATCCCCTTTACCAGCACAAACATCTAGTTGAGAAATACATTCCATCACCTCCAGCAAGACAGTACGTATGTCTTAAATGCGAATGAAAAAGGTCCCAGTCAGTAAAACCTAGGGGCTGTGTGTATTTTGGCAAAAAACAGCCATCGTCGTTATAAACAGTAACATTTCCTACCTTCAGATAATTGCAGTGTTGAATGATAACAACCAAAGTTTGATAACCTCCATGGGCGGATCCAGGAATTTTGAAAGGAGGGGGTTCAGGGGTTCGAACCCCCTGAACCCCCCATTGGCTCTGCCAACGCAAAAAACATTCTTCAATGTGATCTTAAGTCATTTTCAAAGGGGGGGGGATATAGAGGTCTATATCACTGTTCTCCCTAGAACACATAATGGGACTTACTTCACAACCTCATTTCCATATTTGCTTGGTCTTTGTGCTTGATACAGGATTCTGTCCCAAGCTTCAGTTCATTTGAATTCCAAATACATCTTGTCATAAAAAAAGCCCCATTTCCCCATCATGTTGACATGACATCGGTGACAAGTTTCTTGGTTTTAGGAACAAACACTTCACTCTACAGTTGGTGGCTTGAAAATGTTCTAAATCATCCGTAAAGGGCTCCACTTTCTAGAGAAGAATTATTTACCTGATATACTTATACAAACAAATGTATGGGCAGACAAACACTCGTCAGATCACATTATATGCCTAAGGATCAAATGAAAGTAAACATTACAATTTCCATGGGCGACACAAAACTAAACCCAACTTAAATGATCTTTAAAACACTTCATTGATGACACCACAGTTATCACATTTACCAACACAACATGACAACATCCTAGTTACTTAAGGAACCAAATTTGTATTTTTTAAAACAGCAAAATGAATATTTTCAGTGGCAAAAGACCAGTTATTTCACTGACCACACTTTCAATAGAATACATCGCATTTTAGGTTGAATGTTTCAGGGTTGCTTATAAAGGTTACTTGAGAAGCAGTTAAAGACCTTGGTTTGGGGTGCTTAGTTGAGTGAGTGGTTGAATGTTGATACAGTATTTGTTGACAAGCTCTCATAATAAAAATGCCAGACTTTAACATGACTGGAAATATACGTATTGTACTTAAAGGGGAAGTGTACACGATAAAATACTGTTTTGGCTATAAAACAACTTGACAAACACTTTTTATGATGAAAAAGTGCAAGACAAAAGGTTAATTTTCGTGTAAACTTGCCCTTAAACAAAAACAAACGATGATGTCGAATGTTGATGCTGTCGATGCCCAGATGGAACAACAAAGCCACTTGGCAGATGTGAAATGAGGTAGTTCACCAAACAGATTGGGGACCCTATCCACACAGCAGTATCGTAGCACTACAACTGGGTATCAGCGATCTATGTACAGTGACATCATTGTGCCTAGATTGTTTAAGTCGATGCATGCTGACATTGTGCTGTGGCTATTGAAGGTCCATGAACATGACATTGTGCCAGGCCTACTGAAGCTGTGACTATTGAAGGTCTACGCACAGTGTAATTATTGTGCTGTGACTATGTACGGTCTACGCCCAGTGTAATTATTGTGCTTTGACTATGGAAGGTCTACGCCCAGTGTAATTATTGTGCTGTGACTATGGAAGGTCTATGCCCAGTGTAATTATTGTGCTGTGACTATGGAGTATAATTATTGTCTGTGACTATGCGGTCCAGTGTAATTATTTGTGCTGTGACTGTGACTATGACGGTCTATGCCCAGTATAATTATTGTCCACGCCCAGTGTAATTATTGTGCTGTGACTATGTAACGGTCTATGCCCAGTGTAATTATTGTGCTGTGACTATGTACGGTCTATGCCCAGTGTAATTATTGTGCTGTGACTATGTACGGTCTACGCCCAGTGTAATTATTGTGCTGTGACTATGGAAGGTCTACCATGTGTAATTATTGTGCTGTGACTATGTAACGGTCTATGCCCAGTATAATTATTGTGCTGTGACTATGTAAGGTCTACTTCCAGTGTAATTATTGTGCTGTGACTATGTAATTCCACCCAGTGTAATTATTGTGCTGTGACTATATGCGGCCCAATGTCGCCCAGTGTAATTATTGTGCTGTGACTATGTACGGTCTACGGTGCCCAGTGTAATTATTGTGCTGTGACTATATGCGGTCGCCCACTGTAATTATTGTGCTGTGACTATGGAAGGTGTCACGACTGTGTAATTATTGTGCTGTGACTATGGAAGGTCTATGCCCAGTGTAATTATTGTGCTGTGACTATGGAAGGTCTACGCCCAGTGTAATTATTGTGCTGTGACTATGGAAGGTCTACGCCCAGTGTAATTATTGTGCTGTGACTATGGAAGGTCTATGCCCAGTGTAATTATTGTGCTGTGACTATGGAAGGTCTACGCCCAGTGTAATTATTGTGCTGTGACTATGGAAGGTCTATGCCCAGTGATATCATAGCACTAAGACTATCCAGGATCTAACCATGGTGATATCATAGCACTAAGACTATCAAGGGTCTAACCACAATGATATCACAGCACTCAAACTATCCAGGGTCTAACCACAGTGATATCATAGCACTAAGACTATCCAGGGTTTAACCATGGTAATATCATAGCACTAAGACTATCCAGGATCTAACCATGGTGATATCATAGCACTAAGACTATCCAGGATCTAACCATGCTGATATCATAGCACTAAGACTATCCAGGATCTAAGCACAGTGAGATCATAAAACTACAGCTATTGAGGTTTACATACAGTGATATTATAGTGCGACCACCATTGAGATTCTGTGCAGTGATACAGTGCTGTGACTATTGAGGGTCTAAACAGTGTCATCACCTGAGGACGGTAGGCAACCTTGCTGACTCAGCAGTTAATGCTGCAGGGACGGATGCACATTAAGGCGTCAGTATCGGTTGCCACGGAAACTATCTTTGGCAATATGTAAAACTTAAAAAGAATTAATAAAAACAATTCATGATATCATTTAAACCAACCAGGTGAAGATTGTTTTTATCAGTACCATTAAAGTGTTGTTGGCGAGACTGTGGAAACACAAGTATGACTGGCATGGTGCTCCTGAAACACCAGTACAGAAGCAGGGGGTGTAGTCTACAGTATATGATACTCTCTGTCTGGGCAGCATGAAAATATTGCAGAGTTTCTATGGCAACCAGAGTGTCTGGACACAATGTGTATGGGGCAATAACCGGTATAAGAAAATATAGATTTGTATATATATGTAGCACTTGGTATAACACATACAGAGTTTATATAGAAATATACATCTGAATTGTATATGATAACACTGCTACAAATGATATCACTGTTACATATTATTTAAAACTATTTACATTATTAAAAATTTACATTCGTGAATCAGTCTTTGGATCAATGCCGTACAGTCTCTAAATCAAGCCACAAACTCTATACATTCAGGCATATTGTCATGGCACACAGCTATGTAAATATGTAGATTCTTACCACCTTTTTAACAAAGGTTCTAGTCATTATATAATATCCTCCTATATAATGTCCTTGCTTCTAATAAAAAAAGTGTTAAAATGACAGGTTTGTAAAGTTGGACTGGAAGACATATAAAACTGCACTGGTGCTGTGAAGAGGTTGTTGTCGGCACCGATAATACAGATGCTTACCCCAGGTATGTTTCTGTAAACAGAAACAAACCCGAAACAAATCTGAATACAGAAAGGTACCCTACGACGAGTCCATTCCAAATTTGGTCGCGTGTTTTCATTGGAACTATCATACTGCTGTATGAGATGTATTTGATTGTGTTATATAAGGAATGAGCATACACAGTAAGGAATATTTCATGATGCACAACACCACTCGCAATCAGCTGAACAGGAACAACTAAATACAGTTTTGGTTTGCGGAAAATGGACTCGTCTGTCGCCGTTTAGGGTACCAGGTATGTTTCTGTATTTTGACTTTGTTTAGGGTACATTTCTGTATTCAACTCCATTGGCACCACTAGGACGTATCATTATCTGCATGCACATGGCAAAGGAAAGCATACCTTGGCAGAATACTTACAATGATACAATAGGAGGGTGACAGTGGGGAGTAACAAGAAAGTTACACATGAATAAAACAGCTAAACAGTGTTTAGTTTTAAAAAATACAAATGCACAAAAGGGAGGCAACTCTTCCCAACTTGGGATGTCAGAGAGTTCAGTTCAGAATTCTCCTGTGTTCATTCTAAATGTGACAAGTGTGAACGTGAAGCAACAGTCTGAATTCTAACCGAGCATCCTCTGGAGAAATCATGTGCAGATATTCACCTACACATAGTTCAGTTATATCATTTCAATGGTAAACAAATGATAATGTCGGAGTGCGGCATATAAAAATGCTTCTGAAAAGTATGCAGCATGTGCCAATCATCAACACATGCCTCAAACTACAAGATATATCATATGCCATCATGAGAATAATGGGCACATCAAGGATGACGCAAGGGAGATAATCCCCAACGTCAGTGGGTACAAATTGATGCACATATTTAGACTTAACCAATAGCACTACCACTAGTAATGTTACTGCAGCATGTTGGCTTAATGCAGAATATTTAACAGTCTACTGTTATTGTGTGTGCCTATCTATCTATCAAATCTATGTTTTCATACAAAGCTCGTTTGTAAATCATGAAAAAAAAAGGTTCTTATACTGTTGATATTCCACTTAAAAAGAGAAGCTATTATTTCAATACCCTTGTCAGTCATCTCTTTGATCAAGGCCTTCTAAAGAAAACATTCACGTAAGACATTGTCCATAATTCAGTGGTTACACGACATTCCTCCCTTACCCAGGAACACACATGGCTGCCATGTTGTATAGTGGCTACTGGTGTATGTACTGAATCCAGCAAAAGGCCTGGTTCTAGGAATCATTGAGTGCTCACAGCAGTGAATACACCAGCAACTTTGTAGTTTAACATATTAACATAGGGTTAAAATAAGTTCAGGCACTGAAGAGGGCAAATCTGACTCCAGTAACAAATAAGCCCATTAGTTTTAATTCGTCGGATTACAGATGTGCTGAAAGCATTTTCATTTTCAAAATCGGAAAAAAAAGAGTACACAAAATTTGTAATTGCTTACTTCTGCTGACACATCTTAAAACGAAAAATGAAACTTGAAAATAATCTCATGATGTGCAACTGGACACATGTAGAATTCGTAAAGACACAGTATGTTCCAGTTTAGAAAAGAAGCTGATGACACCCCAACACCCCCCATCCCCTCACACACACACATACATCACAAAACTGTCAAAAGTTATTTTTAAATTATGATGGCTAAAATTGCTTCCTTTCATTAGCTTATACAAGGTGTATTACTAACAGACTAGCATCATTACAACAAAACAGTTTCCCTATGTCTTACTGGGTAATGGAGGAGTATGATGTGTACAAACTGGTGAAGCAGTGATGATGCATAAGAATAAAGGCACATATTCTCAGCAGTGCTTTACGCAGGTATCATCAGGACAACAGATCATCAACACAAACAACTCGTGAAACAACCATCAGGACACAGTATGTACACCACAACTAATGTATGCATATCATAGGAATTATACATGGGAATCTCTAGCTTTGAATTCCTGTAGGATCTCTTGCCCAGATGACTTTCCGACGTACAGGATCTCATCATGCCCCGCCCCCTCATCGGAGTTGTGTCCAGAGTCATTGTCCTCTATAGTGGCGTTGCTCCTGATGAACTTCATAGTAGAGCTAGTAACGCCCTGTGTGTCGGCCCGCGTTGCCTTGGCCACGTTGTATGAGAGACATCCAAATCGGCGTAATATTGCAATAGCGGGCATCCATAGAATTGAGGAGAGAACCAGGAAGGCACAAACAGTGGAGGCATACCATGGATAGGGCTTTTCATCAACAGCCAGCTCACCCTGTAAGACGTCAAACAAAGGCAATATAAAAAGAGGTTTGATTTTCTTATTTCAAGACAGTTATCTAAATTAGTGACCCAAATCAAAATCTGGGTGAAAAGTCTTCAGCACCCATGTTTATTGTAAGAACTGTCAAGTGACAAACAGCTAACCGTAATGATCTGGTCACAAACGGTAATAATGTCATATTGCGACCAGCCTAACTGTGTGTCAGGAGTTAGCCTGGCCAAGATGTCATTAATTACATGCTGCTGCCCTACTTGAAGAGTGTACCTGTTAACGGGTATGTTACAGTGATGACACCAGATGTTTGTGGACAAGGTGTAACACCTGTCTCACAGGAGCAGCACCCATGACCATGTTCTTCATTATTCATATTGTGAATCTTTAGAAACAAAATTCTCAAAACTCATCTCATATTCCATTAACCTGCAAAGAGCTGTGACGTATATATTGTGTGCTCTTTCTTGTGACACATTTTTTCCTGATCTAGGAATTCATAGTTTTAGATATATAAAATTAACACAGTTACTGTTGAGCTTGAGTGTAGTTGTTTTTGAATATTTCCTGCCATCTTACATTGTTTATATCATAAGGCTTGTACGTGAGAGGCTTGCTGAACTTGCTGATGAGGGTCGAGATGAGGAGCGTGATGATGAGTAGTGGTGCCACCACCTTCCACACGATCCGCCAGTAGATGTTGGGTCTGTGTCCTATCATGAACTCTATATCTGTACAGAACCTGCAATCACCAACAGTAGTAACTAGTACCTTCCAGGAGCCGGCATCACACACACTCCTATTTTATGCAATATGTGCACATGACGGATTAGCCGTGTATACATTTAATCAACATGGTGCACACAGGGACATATGTACACAAATGTGTGTGCCTCTATCTGCTGGGACTCCTTTTTGACTTTCTGGAGTAACTACTGCCAGTAAATGTTTAATTCATCATTAAACATTTGACAGAATAACTGTGATTTTCTGGTAAAAAGAAGTGCTGACATTGTTGATCCCTCCTAACAGATCCTGTAACTGCAAGATGTTATTTACTCGGACTATATCCTTGACTTTCAATCACAGCATCAACAACCACCTTCACTGTGATCCTACCTGAGCTGTTAGAATCTACAATCAGCCTCACCATAGTTTTACTTGAGTTAACTTCTACAACCAGCCTTACCATGGGTTTACCTGAGTTAACTTCTACAACCAGCCTTACCATGGTTTTACCTGAGTTAACTTCTACAACCAGCCTTACCATAGGTTTACCTGAGTTAACTTCTACAACCAGCCTTACCATGGGTTTACCTGAGTAAACTTCTACAACCAGCCTTACCATGGGTTTACCTAAGTTAACTTCTACAACCAGCCTTACCATGGTGTTACCTGAGTTAACTTCTACAACCAGCCTTACCATGGGTTTACCTAAGTTAACTTCTACAACCAGCCTTACCATGGTTTTACCTGTGTTAACTTCTACAACCAGCCTTACCATGGTTTTACCTGAGTTAACTTCTACAACCAGCCTTACCATGGGTTTACCTGAGTTAACTTCTACAACCAGCCGTACCATGGGTTTACCTGAGTTAACTTCTACAACCAGCCTTACCATGGGTTTACCTAAGTTAACTTCTACAACCAGCCTTACCATGGTGTTACCTGAGTTAACTTCTACAACCAGCCTTACCATGGGTTTACCTAAGTTAACTTCTACAACCAGCCGTACCATGGTTTTACCTGTGTTAACTTCTACAACCAGCCTTACCATGGGTTTACCTAAAGTTACCTGAGTTAACTTCTACAACCAGCCTTACCATGGGTTTACCTGAGTTAACTTCTACAACCAGCCGTACCATGGGTGTACCTGAGTTAACTTCTACAACCAGCCGTACCATGGGTTTACCTGAGTTAACTTCTACAAACAGCCTTATCATGGGTTTACCTGAGTTAACTTCTACAACCAGCCTTACCATGGGTTTACCTGAGTTAACTTCTACAAACAGCCTTATCATGGGTTTACCTGAGTTAACTTCTACAACCAGCCTTACCATGGGTTTACCTGAGTTAACTTCTACAACCAGCCTTACCATGGGTTTACCTGAGTAAACTTCTACAACCAGCCTTACCATGGGTTTACCTAAGTTAACTTCTACAACCAGCCTTACCATGGTGTTACCTGAGTTAACTTCTACAACCAGCCTTACCATGGGTTTACCTAAGTTAACTTCTACAACCAGCCTCACCATGGTGTTACCTGGGTTAACTTCTACAACCAGCCTTACCATGGTTTTACCTGAGTTAACTTCTACAACCAGCCTTACCATGGGTTTACCTGAGTTAACTTCTACAACCAGCCTTACCATGGGTTTACCTCAGTTTACTTCTAAAATCAGCCTTACCATGGGTTTACCTAAGTTAACTTCTACAAGCAGCCGTACTATGGTTTTACCCGAGTTAAATTCTACAACCAGCCTTACCATGGTGTTACCTGAGTTAACTTCTACAACCAGCCTTACCATGGGTTTACTTGAGTTAACTTCTACAACCAGCCGTACCATGGGTTTACCTAAGTTAACTTCTACAACCAGCCGTACCATGGTGTTACCTAAGTTAACTTCTACAACCAGCCGTACCATGGGTTTACCTGAGTTAACTTCTACAAACAGCCTTATCATGGGTTTACCTGAGTTAACTTCTACAAACAGCCTTACCATGGTTTTACCTGAGTTAACTTCTACAACCAGCCTTACCATGGTTTTACCTAAGTTAACTTCTACAACCAGCCGTACCATGGTTTTACCTAAGTTAACTTCTACAAACAGCCGTACCATGGTGTTACCTAAGTTAACTTCTACAAACAGCCGTACCATGGTGTTACCTAAGTTAACTTCTACAAACAGCCGTACCATGGGTTTACCTGAGTTAATTTCTACAACCAGCCTTACCATGGGTGTACCTGAGTTAATTTCTACAACCAGCCTTACCATGGTTTTACCTGAGTTAACTTCTACAAACAGCCGTACCATGGGTTTACCTGAGTTAACTTCTACAACCAGCCTTACCATGGGTGTACCTGAGTTAATTTCTACAACCAGCCTTACCATGGGTGTACCTGAGTTAATTTCTACAACCAGCCTTACCATGGGTGTACCTGAGTTAATTTCTACAACTTGCACCACTTCCTCCAACTTTAACCAAATAATCTCTGACACATCAGATACTATGAATTACATATCTAACTAGTAGGGTCAGCTTGTATATATCATACCCCCTACTTGTGACACATTAAACAAACCTACCATTACTGGGTATGACTTCACAAACACAGACATATGGTGAGATATTTGTGACACATGTCATAAACCAGGACAATGATACCTGTTGAGTCCATATACGTAGGCGACTCCGATAGTCTCGGCTAGAGCCACCAGGATGAGAGGGAAGGACCCAGCAAATGTGTCAAAGAGGGCCACCCAGTAAGATCCACTCCCCAGGACGAACAGGATTCCAGTGACACAGCTGGTGCCACACAACACAGCTACAGAGAGAGGACGACAATGTTAGTGAGTCAGATGTAATGACTGACACAGCTACAGAGAGAGGACGACAATGTTAGTGAGTCAGATGTAATGACTGACACAGCTACAGAGAGAGGACGACAATGTTAGTGAGTCAGATGTAATGACTGACACAGCTGCAGAGAGAGGACGACAATGTTAGTGAGTCAGATGTAATGACGGACACAGCTACAGAGAGAGGACGACGATGTTAGTGAGTCAGATGTAATGACTGACACAGCTGCAGAGAGAGGACGACAATGTTAGTGAGTCAGATGTAATGACTGACACAGCTACAGAGAGAGGACGACAATGTTAGTGAGTCAGATGTAATGACTGACACAGCTACAGAGAGAGGACAATGTTAGTGAGTCAGATGTAATGACTGACACAGCTGCAGAGAGAGGACGACAATGTTAGTGAGTCAGATGTAATGACTGACACAGCTACAGAGAGAGGACGACAATGTTAGTGAGTCAGATGTAATGACTGACACAGCTACAGAGAGAGGACGACAATGTTAGTGAGTCAGATGTAATGACTGACACAGCTGCAGAGAGAGGACGACAATGTTAGTGAGTGAAAGAGTCAGTGAGTGAGTGAGTTAGTTTAGTTTTAAGCCGCTTTTCTAGCAATATTCCAGCAATATCACGGCGGGGGACACCAGAAAGGAGCTTCACACATTGTGAGTGAGATGTACTCTCCAGGACAAACAGGATCTGACTGACACAGCTGCAGAGGGAATAGCCTGTGCTAACTGTTTTGGAATGTCCTGTGTTAACTGTATTGGAATGTCCTGTATTAACTGTATTGTAATGTCCTGTACTAACTGTATTGTAATGGCCTGTATTAACTGTATTGGAATAGTCTGTACTAACTGTATTGGAATGGCCTGTACTAAATGTATTGGAATGGCCTGTACTAACTGTATTGGAAAGGCCTGTGCTAGGTAACTGTATTGGAATGGCCTGTACTAAATGTATTGGAATGTCCCGTACTAACTGTATTGGAATGTCCTGTACTAACTGTATTGTAATGTTCTGTACTAACTGTATTGGAATGGCCTGTACTAACTGTATTGTAATGGCCTGTACTAACTGTATTGTAATGGTCTGTACTAACTGTATTGGAATGGCCTGTACTAACTGTATTGGAAAGGCCTGTACTAACTGTATTGGAATTGCCTGTGTTAACTGTATTGGAATGGCCTGTGTTAACTGTATTGGAATGGCCTGTGTTAACTGTATTGGAATGTCCTGTACTAACTGTATTGGAATGTCCTGTACTAACTGTATTGGAATGGCCTGTACTAACTGTATTGGAATGGCCTGTACTAACTGTCTTGGAATGGCCTGTACTAACTGTATTTGAATGGCCTGTGTTAACTGTATTGGAATGGCCTGTGTTAACTGTATTGGAATGGCCTGTGTTAACTGTATTGGAATGGCCTGTACTAACTGTATTGGAATGGCCTGTACTAACTGTATTGTAATGTCCTGTACTAACTGTATTGGAATGGCCTGTACTAACTGTATTGTAATGACCTGTACTAACTGTATTGTAATGGCCTGTACTAACTGTATTGTAATGTCCTGTACTTACTGTATTGTAATGGCCTGTACTAACTGTGTTGTAATGGCCTGTACTAACTGTATTGGAATGGCCTGTACTAACTGTATTGGAATGTCCTGTACTAACTGTATTGTAATGTCCTGTACTAACTGTATTGGAATGGCCTGTACTAACTGTATTGGAATGGCATGTACTAACTGTATTGGAATGGCCTGTGTTAACTGTATTGGAATGGCCTGTACTAACTGTATTGGAAAGGCCTGTACTAACTGTATTGGAATGGCCTGTGTTAACTGTATTGGAATGGCCTGTGTTAACTGTATTGTATTGTAATGTCCTGTATTAACTGTATTGGAATGTCCTGTACTAACTGTATTGGAATGGCCTGTGTTAACTGTATTGGAATGGCCTGTACTAACTGCATTGGAATGGCCTGTGTTAACTGTATTGGAATGGCCTGTGTTAACTGTATTGTATTGTAATGTCCTGTGTTAACTGTATTGTAATGTCCTGTACTAACTGTATTGTAATGTCCTGTACTAACTGTATTGGAATGGCCTGTACTAACTGTATTGGAATGTCCTGTACTAACTGTATTGGAATGTCCTGTACTAACTGTATTGGAATGGCCTGTGTTAACTGTATTGGAATGGCCTGTGTTAACTGTATTGGAATGGCCTGTGTTAACTGTATTGTAATGTCCTGTACTAACTGTATTGGAATGGCCTGTGTTAACTGTATTGTATTGTAATGTCCTGTATTAACTGTATTGGAATGGCCTGTGCTAACTGTATTGGAATGTCCTGTACTAACTGTATTGGAATGTCCTGTACTAACTGTATTGTAATGTCCTGTACTAACTGTATTGTAATGTCCTGTATTAACTGTATTGTATTGTAATGTCCTGTGTTAACTGTATTGGAATGTCCTGTACTAACTGTATTGTAATGTCCTGTACTAACTGTATTGGAATGTCCTGTACTAACTGTATTGTAATGTCCTGTATTAACTGTATTGTATTGTAATGTCCTGTATTAACTGTATTGGAATGTCCTGTACTAACTGTATTGTAATGTCCTGTACTAACTGTATTGGAATGGCCTGTACTAACTGTATTGGAATGGCATGTACTAACTGTATTGGAATGGCCTGTGTTTACTGTATTGGAATGGCCTGTACTAACTGTATTGGAAAGGCCTGTACTAACTGTATTGGAATGGCCTGTGTTAACTGTATTGGAATGGCCTGTGTTAACTGTATTGTATTGTAATGTCCTGTATTAACTGTATTGGAATGTCCTGTACTAACTGTATTGGAATGGCCTGTGTTAACTGTATTGGAATGGCCTGTACTAACTGTATTGGAATGGCCTGTGTTAACTGTATTGGAATGGCCTGTGTTAACTGTATTGTATTGTAATGTCCTGTGTTAACTGTATTGGAATGTCCTGTACTAACTGTATTGTAATGTCCTGTACTAACTGTATTGGAATGTCCTGTACTAACTGTATTGGAATGTCCTGTACTAACTGTATTGGAATGTCCTGTACTAACTGTATTGGAATGGCCTGTGTTAACTGTATTGGAATGGCCTGTGTTAACTGTATTGGAATGTCCTGTACTAACTGTATTGGAATGTCCTGTACTAACTGTATTGGAATGGCCTGTGCTAACTGTATTGGAATGTCCTGTACTAACTGTATTGGAATGTCCTGTACTAACTGTATTGGAATGGCCTGTACTAACTGTATTGGAATGGCCTGTACTAACTGTCTTGGAATGGCCTGTACTAACTGTATTTGAATGGCCTGTGTTAACTGTATTGGAATGGCCTGTGTTAACTGTATTGGAATGGCCTGTGTTAACTGTATTGGAATGGCCTGTACTAACTGTATTGGAATGGCCTGTACTAACTGTATTGTAATGTCCTGTACTAACTGTATTGGAATGGCCTGTACTAACTGTATTGTAATGACCTGTACTAACTGTATTGTAATGGCCTGTACTAACTGTATTGTAATGTCCTGTACTTACTGTATTGTAATGGCCTGTACTAACTGTGTTGTAATGGCCTGTACTAACTGTATTGGAATGTCCTGTACTAACTGTATTGGAATGTCCTGTACTAACTGTATTGTAATGTCCTGTACTAACTGTATTGGAATGGCCTGTACTAACTGTATTGGAATGGCATGTACTAACTGTATTGGAATGGCCTGTGTTAACTGTATTGGAATGGCCTGTACTAACTGTATTGGAAAGGCCTGTACTAACTGTATTGGAATGGCCTGTGTTAACTGTATTGGAATGGCCTGTGTTAACTGTATTGTATTGTAATGTCCTGTATTAACTGTATTGGAATGTCCTGTACTAACTGTATTGGAATGGCCTGTGTTAACTGTATTGGAATGGCCTGTACTAACTGTATTGGAATGGCCTGTGTTAACTGTATTGGAATGGCCTGTGTTAACTGTATTGTATTGTAATGTCCTGTGTTAACTGTATTGGAATGTCCTGTACTAACTGTATTGTAATGTCCTGTACTAACTGTATTGGAATGGCCTGTACTAACTGTATTGGAATGTCCTGTACTAACTGTATTGGAATGTCCTGTACTAACTGTATTGGAATGGCCTGTGTTAACTGTATTGGAATGGCCTGTGTTAACTGTATTGGAATGGCCTGTGTTAACTGTATTGTAATGTCCTGTACTAACTGTATTGGAATGGCCTGTGTTAACTGTATTGTATTGTAATGTCCTGTATTAACTGTATTGGAATGGCCTGTGCTAACTGTATTGGAATGTCCTGTACTAACTGTATTGGAATGTCCTGTACTAACTGTATTGTAATGTCCTGTACTAACTGTATTGTAATGTCCTGTATTAACTGTATTGTATTGTAATGTCCTGTGTTAACTGTATTGGAATGTCCTGTATTAACTGTATTGTATTGTAATGTCCTGTATTAACTGTATTGTAATGTCCTGTATTAACTGTATTGGAATGGCCTGTGTTAACTGTATTGTAATGTCCTGTATTAACTGTATTGTATTGTAATGTCCTGTATTAACTGTTTTGGAATGTCCTGTACTAACTGTATTGTAATGTCCTGTACTAACTGTATTGGAATGGCCTGTACTAACTGTATTGGAATGGCATGTACTAACTGTATTGGAATGGCCTGTGTTAACTGTATTGGAATGGCCTGTACTAACTGTATTGGAAAGGCCTGTACTAACTGTATTGGAATGGCCTGTGTTAACTGTATTGTATTGTAATGTCCTGTATTAACTGTATTGGAATGTCCTGTACTTACTGTATTGGAATGGCCTGTGTTAACTGTATTGGAATGGCCTGTACTAACTGTATTGGAATGGCCTGTGTTAACTGTATTGGAATGGCCTGTGTTAACTGTATTGTATTGTAATGTCCTGTGTTAACTGTATTGGAATGTCCTGTACTAACTGTATTGTAATGTCCTGTACTAACTGTATTGGAATGGCCTGTACTAACTGTATTGGAATGTCCTGTACTAACTGTATTGGAATGTCCTGTACTAACTGTATTGGAATGGCCTGTGTTAACTGTATTGGAATGGCCTGTGTTAACTGTATTGGAATGTCCTGTACTAACTGTATTGGAATGTCCTGTACTAACTGTATTGGAATGGCCTGTGTTAACTGTATTGTATTGTAATGTCCTGTATTAACTGTATTGGAATGGCCTGTGCTAACTGTATTGGAATGTCCTGTACTAACTGTATTGGAATGTCCTGTACTAACTGTATTGGAATGGCCTGTGTTAACTGTATTGGAATGGCCTGTGTTAACTGTATTGTATTGTAATGTCCTGTATTAACTGTATTGGAATGGCCTGTACTAACTGTATTGGAATGTCCTGTACTAACTGTATTGGAATGTCCTGTACTAACTGTATTGGAATGGCCTGTGTTAACTGTATTGTAATGTCCTGTGTTAACTGTATTGTAATGTCCTGTGTTAACTGTATTGGAATGTCCTGTATTAACTGTATTGTATTGTAATGTCCTGTGTTAACTGTATTGTAATGTCCTGTACTAACTGTATTGTAATGTCCTGTGTTAACTGTATTGTAATGTCCTGTGTTAACTGTATTGTAATGTCCTGTACTAACTGTATTGGAATGTCCTGTACTAACTGTATTGTAATGTCCTGTGTTAACTGTATTGTAATGTCCTGTGTTAACTGTATTGTAATGTCCTGTATTAACTGTATTGTATTGTAATGTCCTGTGTTAACTGTATTGTAATGTCCTGTACTAACTGTATTGTAATGTCCTGTATTAACTGTATTGTATTGTAATGTCCTGTATTAACTGTATTGGAATGTCCTGTACTAACTGTATTGGAATGGCCTGTGTTAACTGTATTGGAATGGCCTGTACTAACTGTATTGGAATGGCCTGTACTAACTGTATTGTAAAGGCCTGTACTAACTGTATTGTAATGGCCTGTACTAACTGTATTGGACGTCTGATTAGTCCGGACACCTGTGTACATGTTGTAGGTGGCAGTCAGTATGATACTCCACACAGCCATATTGTTTAGGATATAAAGGAAAGTAAAGCGAGAGGTGGCAGAAGCAGATATTGCTAAAAGAATTTCAGGAAAATATGAATCACTCACTATAACACAATGGCAAATCAACAATGTAATTATTGTTCTAACATACACACTGAATCTCAGGCTGCGTGCTGGCTCTTGGCGCCCAACCGAACAAGGGACATTTTGTACAGAGAAACATGCATGACATCTGAGCCCTATGCAGTAAAAATCTCATACAACAAATGTTAGTACAATTGAATAAGAAACCATAAAGGTAATTAATAACATCAATCACAAAATGTATTGATGAAATACAAATCTTGCATGTGGTATACTATAGTATAGAATATTCAAAACACTTCTGTTATTTCATCAAATTACCATTTTTGCACATGATCAAATTACGCATGGTATGAACCATCTGCTACCATCTATATTTTCATCCAATTAACTGCTTCAACTATTCAGTCCTAGTGCAAGTCACACGTAAGCATTTGTGGCACAACTGTTTCCTCAGTTCTTCTAACATCCTCACTACTCAAACCACCAACGCAGGTCTACAAGAGTCAATGTTACTATTACAGCACATTTGTCAAAAGTACCTCAATCTGTTATGCAAAATTGGGACCTTTATGTTGGTATATATGTATATTATCATGAGGGCATGTATCTAAGAACCCAAAAGGCCTTGCAGTTACCCAGCATGCCTCTGTACCCTGCCAGACTCAGCACAGCATTCAACAAGCGAGCCACATCAGAGCATCGTAATTATAATTGTTGAGTACATAGCTGAAAGAATTGATGCTGACAATAGCACTGACAACACTATATATATTAAGTGTGTGCAATCGAAATAAACAAAACAGCAAATTTCAGCAGCTGACTGTCAAGTATTATGACAATTTTACCATCCAAAACAGAAGCATACCTGAAAGAAGCCATTTTTTTCTTCATCCAAGGGTAAAGTTGAAGGTCATGAAGTGATGTAGAAACGCCTTCAATAGTGCCAAACTCACTGCCCAGACCCAAAGACAGGAGCATGAGAAAGAAAACAATGGACCAGAATGGCGCCGATGGTCCGAATTCATTGATGGCTTGAGTGAAGATGATGAAGGCCAGTCCGGTGCCTTCAGCTCCCTTTATGAACAAAACAGGTAGCCATAGTGATGTAAATGACAAGTCAAACCATCCATCTTTTCAATCATCAGTTGTTGCATTAATCTAAATCTATAAAAATATCCAAAATCATCTTTTATTGCACCTACACCAATGTTACTGGAGATAATATGCTCTTAACATTGCTCCACACAAGGAACATTTTTATCCATGTACTTTTAAAAAAGTTTAGTTACATCTTTTATTCATTTTATAAAAGTTCAACCTTAAAATAGAGATGAACATTAATACTGAGATTCATCAAATTCAGTTTTACAAATTCTGAGAAAATACAGAAAGTCATCTACCATATCATGATATCTTCTTACATCATCACACACAAACAGCCTCAGCTTTCATTGAATTTTTTAATAAAAACAATATATGAACTTTTGTTAAATATGAATTGATGTAATATCAATAAACCAAAATAAAATCACATGCATGTCATGACAAGTTTGGCAGTTTCTGATAGATGATGTTTACAGAGCTTATGAAATGAAAGTAGAAAACTTAAATAATGCCAAATGATGGTAAGTATAAGTGGAGTGCCACAGAAGTTTAGGCCAAAATACTGATAAGTATGTTTTTTCAATATGACTTCCATGGCAGCCATGTTGAAGATGGGGATTTAAACCTCTTGAACAAACTTGGATATAATCATTAGTTGTTTGTTTGTGGTTTAACACCACACACAGCAATATGCCAGCTATATAGCGGTGGTCTGTAAATAATAGAGTCTGGACCAGAATATCGATCTACCCAACTGAGATATGATGACATGTGTCTTAGGACAAGTATGGGTCACTGAAGACCAATTGTAATATGATCATTGATGGGATGAAAGGTGTAGTCTTAGATTCAATGGTGATTTCTGATGAGATGTTAATAACAATTAAACAAACACATGAAACATTGTCAAAAGGCAGAAGTCAAATCTATGATGAACTGAAAATATCACATACAATGTTTATATTCCTACAACCAACTGCATATAAATCAAGTTTCATTACATTTTGAACAAGAATCTCCAAGTCGGAGCCACAACACATTTTTTCAAAATGGTTGCCACAACATGAATAAAGTGGTACTTCATCACTGCTAGAAATAATCTTCAGGGTGCGAACTAGTGTAGAAGATGTCAATGGATGAAGGACAGGGGACCAAGATATAAGCCTGTTTGATTTTCAGTAAGCTGAGTTAGAACTGAGAACATTCACTTGTATATTCTTCCTTTATAAATATTTTGTCATTTCTCTCTCTATCGCTTGTTACCTTGTTGAGGTCATCTTGTAAGCTACAATGTCGTAGTTTTTCTGTGGTGTTGGTGATGTTAGCGATGTTGTCAGCAAACTGTTCCAGGTACACAGACTGTGTCAGTGTCGTCTCGTTATACTCAAGGTTGTATGGACTTATTTCAAGAAGCAGTTCAATGTTTCTGAAAAACATGAAACAGATGTAACACTGTTAATCAAAGGAATATAATCATTTTCCCACACAAATCAGTGAAGCTGCTGCAGTGTGTAACATATATTTGGGCTGACACTTTGTAAAGGGCATTTTCTATACATTGCTGTTGTGTTTCAAGACAGTTTTGGACCAAGAACTTGACATTTTCAACATATGACAGTAATTTCATTAATACATGTAATCAGGGAGACAAACAAACATCAGACACTACATGGAACATGTTCTATAAATAATTAACGTGAATACTCATTAGGACTTTCATTCTCATTTAACTTGTTATCCAACAATTTCGCCTTAAATTCAACGCAGATAAATATAGCCGAACTTTTCAACTTCCAGATCGGTATTGTTCCAAATAGATGAAACAAGTTTAAACTTGAGATAATGATGTTTGATTGTTTTTTCTTTCCCGAAAAGAGTTTTATATGCATATTATTCACAATTTCTTGCAAACAGAGGTAATGAAAAACTGTAAAACAGAGTTCTTGTCAAAAGTAATTCCCCCGTTTCATTTTGTTGTTGTCATTCTTGTAAACCAACAAAAAACAATATATGGCCTTTAATAAGATGACAAGTCAGGGCATTTTGTAAATTAGTTTGGAATCGCTGAAGCTGAATTTCATGTTATTAGATGAGCCTACACTAACAACAATTCTAAAATCATATGATTTGAAATCAGCTTATCTTTATCATTTTGTCTCATTTTACCATTCAGATCTGCAATTTATAGCAACACTTTCTGTTTTATTTTGTTCCCTGTCTCTGACATATCAAAATAAGTAAATCTGCTCATCAGGACAGTAACGTTTCTTCTTCCAGCAAAATAAAAGGTAAACGGTAAAAAATTAATGTGTTCCCAAATAAAATTAAAAAATTAAATAAATTAATGTGCCTTTCCCAGGGCAGCCTAACGAGAACATCAGCACTTTGCCCTTATAAGGGATTCTTTGATATAACTACCAAGAATAGGGATGTCTTCACTTAGCACCAGTAGATGCCACCCCTATTTCATCCACTGAACAGACATGCCAAACAATATCACATTGAAAACAATTTATTCAACTCTTTCAAAAACAGGTTTACTACTGACAAATCATTGTCATTCAGTAACTTGCACAAGTCAAGTTTCAAGTCAAGCTGAATAATTCCTCCCTTTCCCGACTAGATTTGGTTTATCAAAGAGTTGAATGCCCTGTTGAACACTGCCTGTACAAGTTACTTGTTATCAGACATAACCCCACCAGGTCGTGCTTCACAATGCCCATGGGGAGACTTGTTCCCATTGATTCCACAAGTCATAGCTAGGGTAATTTGTCAATGGCCTCTACAAATACAACTTGGCATACTGTCATGGCAGAAGTCTGATTTCAGTACTGACTGGATTTGGCCTTGATTTAAGGACATAGTGGAACACTGTAGGACACTGTTCTCATTCACATATTCCACATGTAAATGTTTTGTAAGATTACAAACTTTACTGGAATAATATTGAGACTTTAAAAATTGTAAATAAGGTAAACAAATCATAAGTTTGTATATGAAGCACATGAAATATCTGAGATTTATAAATTCAGATTTCAGGAAAATGTCACATAACATTTTTTTTAGAAAAACACATTCAAGGGCCATTAATCGGTATAAAAAATTACATGCATTCAATAATTGATCATTATAAAATCACTGATATCGTTACAAAATTCTAAGAATTACACGTGACATGCTTGAAGATAACACTGTTATATAGATACTCTTAAACATATTATCCACATAAGAAAAGGTGGTGATAAAATTTCTGTTGGTATTTTTTCATTTCACCTAGATGTAAAACAGAGTTGACCCCAAAATATCTAATTTCTGGTCTGTTTTGCAAACCCTACTACAGAATCCCTCAAGACATGGTCTTGAAACAGTGGAAATACTGAACACAAAGAAGGATAAATGTCACTATTAACAAAATTCATAAACAATTTGATCTCTTACTCTAATTTGATGCCTCTCTCCCACAAAATCTGACCAAACCTTCAAAGCAGGTTGTGTCATGTAAACCCTTACCAGGTTTTGACTGTCCAATCAAAATGAAGAACACATGCATTTTTGTGCCAAGACGATGTCAGTATATAAAACAGTTACCTTGACAGCTTGTGATAGGGTGAGCTAAAAGACTTTATGTCATTTTTCCCATTGGGACTAACTGCCTATTCTAGTTCCTATTTTGGATGAATCAGTCAGTTATCTGCATTCTGAATGATCCACACGATTGTACAAAGAAATGTAGGTTAAGTGTAGGGCTGGGATCGATAACCCAGATACCCAGGACAGGTGGGTAAAGAGTTGGACTGGGGTACCCATCACACTACCCAGACCCGCTTGATCACATGACTAATAAATGAAGAATTAATTGAATGTGTTTGACTTTGTGCCTGATGCGACAGATTCAAAATATTTCCAGACACCGCTCTTAATCTCGGCCATGATTGATTTTATTGAAGGCGAATACCTCGCAATTAGTGTTATAATGGGTGCCCGGGTCGGATCGGGTTATAGGGGGTCGGGTCCCAGGGTAGGACATTTGGACCCATCCCAGCCCTAGTTAAGTGCTAACAGAGCCAAGGTTTAGAAGTTCACTAAGATGGCCTCTATAGGGAGGGTTTGTCAGATGTCCGAACAGGGACTCAGTACTCAATGTACAAATCAAGAGTATCATAACTTTTCACTGTTACAAAATGACAAACTCTCTGAATATCATTCCAAGATCATGGTAGTCCCTGTAACTTGTCCCTGTAAACAGAGTGGAAAATATCACCGGTTACAATACTCACTGACTGATGCAGTTCTCATACATCAGCGTGGCCTTGAACCCTAGGATGGAGAAGATGACTGTGCAGGCAAAGATGGCGGTGAACCAGTTGCAGAGGGAGACAATTATTGCATCTCTTTCACAGTTGTTTTTCTTGGGGTTGTAACTGGAAAAGGCAATAAGGCCACCGAACGCCAGGCCGAAGGAGTAGAAGATCTGGGTAGCCGCATCCAGCCAGCACTGCGGATCTTTTAAACTCTCCATCTGATACAAAACAAACAGTTCCATCAACAGTTCTACAGATAACTTGTCATGTTTAGGTATACTCATTTAAGTTAAAAACTCGACACTGAATCCCACAATAGAAGAAGTGTGTGCATTTTGTTGAAAGTAAATGTGTTCAAAACCCGCCAGCTTCGCATGCACACACCCACCACACCTCCGCCACCATGCACAAGATGCACTTCCCCACACACACACACACACACACCATCCATCGCTCTAACTAGAAGTCATTGCCATTGGTCAACAAGAAGACAAAGTCATCAATATCCCCCTCAATGGCAAAATACTCTTCATGATTATGTCTACGAGTTATGATTATGTCAAATATTTAGGTGTGTATATAGAAAAGTGGAAGGAGAGTATTGAAAGGTTTTTAAAGTTCTGCTCCAGAAAGCATCACTATCACCAATTTCAGTCTATGTCAAACTTGTTGCCATGGAAATGCCAAAAATATTTTATTCAGAAATCCAAAACTACCAAAAGGCACCAGTACACCACCAGATCTATGTATGTGCCAAGTTTGGTGAAGAAACATTGAACGGTTTTAAAGTTCTGCCCCAGAAAAGTGCACTACCACTAATTTCTGTTTTAGTCAAACTTGTTGCCATGGAAATGCCAAAAATATTTTATTCAGAATTCCAAAACTACCAAAAAGGAACCAGTACACCACCAGACCAATCTATGTGTCAAGTTTGAAGAAGAAATAGTGAACGGTTTTAGAGTTCAGTTCCGGAAAAGAGCACAACCACCAATTTCAGGCTAAGTCAAACTTGTTGCCATGGAAACGCCCAAAATATTTAATTCAGAGTTCCAAAACTACCAAAAGGCACCAGTGCACCACCCGATCTATCTATGTGCCAAGTTTGGTGAAGAAATATTGAACGGTTTTAGAGTTCTGCTCCGGAAAAGACAAATGTGCACGGACGGACGGAGTCCATTTTAATACCCCCCCAAAACGCGCTGCGGGGGATAATAAGCGTTTGCCCACGTTCTAGCATGGTCTGGGGTTGGTTCACCTCCCAGTGGTGGATCCAGAGGGGGGGTTCAGGGGGTTCGACCCCCCCTTTGAAAATGACTTAAGATCACATTGAAGATATTTTTTGTGTTGGCGGAGCCAATGGGGGGTTCAGGGGGTTCAAACCCCGTGAACCCCCTCATTTCAAAATTTCTGGATCCGCCCATGCCTCCTGTTTGCTGGTCTTCACAGCTCATCCCAAATGTGTTTGATTGGATTCAGTCTGGGGAACAGGAAGCCCTGTCCATGACATCCACACTGGCATTATCAAAGCTTCAGTATGGGGCTTAGTATTTTCATGTTGAAATGTCAGTACCGATCGTGATACTGTACAGCAGTAAGATTGACTTGGACAACAATCAACTGAGACTGACCATTGGCACAAGATGCTTCCCAAACCATTACAGTGCACCTTCCAAATCGGTCAACCTCAAGAACACAACACTGTGTGTGACATTACCCCTTGGAATGAAATGTAAGTCAGCCTGAACGTTTGGCATGGTGAATAAATGCACTAGACCACAGTGCAACATTATATACTTGTATTCAGTCAACATATTTCACTTAGAGTGATGTTACAACAAATAAAATTTAATGTCCATTGGTGTCATGGTGAACTGCCCTCAGCAGGCTAATGAGGTGAGCTAATCCTCCAGCTTGCCGGACCATATCTCACAGTGATGAACAGTATTTGCACAATCAAGCAAGCATAACTGTTAACCCCCATAAGCTGCTGGGTGAACGAGAAGACCCCCTGCAGATAGGTCCTGCGTCAGGATACATCCTGAAGGTATGTGGTGACACTCAACCTCTCACAACTATTTGCTAGAGGAGGTTGCAGTCACAAATCTGTTGCAGAGATAACATAACCTGATTTGTATGTCATCTTAATGTGATGTCACACATGGTGGCACACTGCTTTGGTCAATCTGGAACATTGGCCATCTGTTTCACACAGGTCCACAGACCGTTTATTGTCTGAAAAACTGAGCCTAGGGTTCCTGCTACAGATTGTCCAGCATTAAGCCTACTCATGGCATGTTCACATTGCTCATTTGTGACTTGCAGCATACTTGTCTTTCCATTAAACTTGCAATTTTGTTGTGTTTTCCTGTTCAGCAATGTATGTGTGCTTATATTTCAATGCATGTGTAACAGTAAAGTAATCGCGCTACACATGTTCATTGTGTTTCATGCCTTTTTCATACTATGACCAAATTATCACATTGATTGCCAAGGCCATGTTCAGGCAGCCTACATGTCATTGCTCTGTGTATGGCACAACAAGAATTACCCCCTCACAATAATACTAGCAGTAATGTTGCTGTCAAGTTTATACTATTGCATAAGAGTTTCACAAATATTCATAGTTATTTGCCCTTTGCAGGCATCTTTGTCATTTTAATCAGTAACAGAAACTGAGATCGACTGATGACCACCATGTACACATGTATACTCAGTAACCAGGCTGGTCTTTGCATACCTGAGAGGAAATGACAGCTGTCCCTAAGAAAACAAGAAGACAAAGTCATCAATATCCCACACAATGGTAAAATACTCATCATGACTATGTCAAATGACTATGTCAAATGTATGGTTTGATGTACCTCAGTACTGGTGGTACTGTTGATTTATGTCATTAGGTTCTTGGATAGCCACAACATGGAAAGAGAGCATTGAAGCATTATCTCCAGAAAAGAGCACCACCACCAATTTTAGACAAAGTCAATCTTGTTGCCATGGAAACGCAAAAAATAATTTATTCAGAAATCCCAAACTACCAAAAGGCACCAGTTCACCACTAGACCTGTCTATGTGCCAAGTTTGGTGAAGAAATATAGAATGATTTTCATGTTCTGCACAAATTTGCATGGACAGACGGACGGATGGACAGAGTCCATTCTAATACCCCGCGCAAAATGTGAAGAACAAAGGTAGGAGATGGATGAAGGACAAAGGGGAAGAGACTGATGAAGGACAAAGGGGAAGAGACTGATGAAGGACAAAGGGAGGAGACCGATGAAGGACAAAAGGAAGAGACCGATGAAGGACAAAAGGAAGAGACCGATGAAGGACAATGGGAAGAGACCGATGAAGGACAAAGGGAAGAGACCGATGAAGGACAAAGGGAGGCGAGATGACCATCTCGTGAACACTATATATATGTACATATAACTGACAAGGAAGTAGCACAGGAAGGAGTGAGATGACCAGACAACTGAGGGCCTTTCAGCAACATTGGGTTCCTGTACATGGAGATTCTATGGTGACCATGATGGCATCAACAAACATAACAAAGTATTTCCAGAGATGTATGTGTAACTAGATATATATTCTGCCTGGAATACTTTCCCTTGGAATAACAGGTTTTGGGCTGGGAAGGGTTAACCAGATACCTGTGATGGTGGGTAATGAATTGGATCCAGGTACCCCTCTCAATACCCGGACCCGTTATGCTGATGTGACTAATATATTAAACAATGCAATATGTTATTCTTTCATGATTAAAAGGTTGTATTGTCTTTGAAGAGTCACGTCTTTTGAATATAATACATGGTTAAGATATTGAGTTATATTGGAGCAATAGCCTCCAAGCTGAAGAATATATTGCCATTTCTTTCAAATTTGAATGCAGGAATTAACATAACGGGTATCCGGGTAGGGTAGGGTAATAGGGGGTGGGGTACCCGGGTAGAAAATTGAGACCAGTCCCAGCCCCTAAACCGGGTATTACATTTTCCTGTAATATTTTACCAGGAATATTTTCTATAATCAATTCCTAAGCTTCAGGCTGTATTTTACCTTACAGGTAAACAACATCAGTGACACACTGGCAGCTGGTCCAATATTCCAACGATACCAGACAATCGGCTCTGTTACAAGTTCTTTTGATCCTTACACTCTCAACTTCATTTGTGTACCTAATTCCTGATCATCTAACAGCTGTCAGCTGCATTAAGTCTCATGATTTAATTCATGTCCACAAGACCATAAGGTCCCTGGTGTACATTTCATCTGCTCAGATAAACCCTATCATTACTGAATATACTGTACAATAAAGCTATCACCTTGTTTCAACCTTCAGAATCCATGCTGATTTATATACCCAGTCTACAAAGCAGCCCTGAACGAAGCACATCATGGGAACCTACATGATCCCTGTATTTGCAATAAAACATGTTTGTTTCTGATTTTTAGTTTTTAGGATGCTTGATTGCATAGAACTCCAGCATATGGCACCATTTTGTGCATTGACGTGGTGCAGCACAAATTGGTGACAGTAAAAATATATATTTTTTATTACTGAACTAAGATCAGACAAAGACAGTCTATTTCCCGAAATTTAACCACCAATCATCAAACTTTCAAATAACTAGGATTAGTTTTGTTTAACTATGAGCATGTTTATACAGTAGTCTTTAATACAACACATGCTAATAGATGAAAAGTTCACCGTCTAAAAACTATACTGGTATGTAAAATTGGGGAAGAGAGAGAAGGAGTGGGCGGAGGCGGCTCATTTAAACTTTACTTGCAGAATGTTTAGTACGAACAAAGGATATGGATTCATATACCAAAATAGTTCTTGGAACAGTTATTTTGAACGAAATGCCAAGTTTTACTGTCAAACAATATTAATGGAAATTGGAAGCCAGCTGACATTGTCAGTCAGAAACAAGAATATATCCTCCTATCAATATCCTCCACAATGGCAAAATACTCTTCATGAATATGTCTACGAGTTATGATCATGTCAAATGTTTTGGTGTGTATATAGAAAAGTAGAAGGAGAGTATTGAAAGGTTTTAAAAGTTCTGCTCCAGAAAGGAGCACAACCACCAATTTCAATCTAAGTCAAACTTGTTGCCATGTAAACGCCAATAAATATTTAATTCAGAATACCAAAACTACCAAAAGGCACCAGTACCCCACCAGACGAATCTATGTGCCAAGTTTGGTGAAG